CTACAGATCACTTGATGTCATACGAAGCTGACTATAAAGGATAACACGAAAGCCATTTAGCTGACTATAAAGGAAAACACCAAAGCCATTTAGCTGCCTATATATTGGTCTTTGACATCAGATTTCCAGGAGCTAAAGGTTCTTCCTTTTTAGGTCTAAATCAAGTCCCCCAAGTCAAGATGATCTCTAGTAATTCTGTTAGTCCATAATCTAAGAAAATCTCTCGTAATCCTTGTATTTTTTGTGCAACAACCACTGGGATGCAAAAAGAGAGATGATACAAAGGAATACTAAAATAATATTGAATAAGAGAAATATGACCATCGAAGAACAATGAATAAAATTGTTATTCTCATACTCAAGTAATTTGTGTGACATTAGGAATATGCAATATGCATGGCTAACATGTAATAATCTATAACTCATTTTTTTATTGAACTACTTTAAACTGTCAAGGGTCAATTTTTCCAAAGCCTTTAAGTTGTTGGATGAAGGTACAGGATTGGATTTATATCTCAACATGCTCTCTCATGCAAGAACCTCTTGGCCGAAGTGTGGACAACACACTTGACCTTGTGCCGAAATTCAACATGTTATTAAGAAAATTGAGGGGTGTTGAGGATCAAATTTGTGACTACTTGTCATAAACCTCAGTGTGTAAAATGATCAAGTTCTTGATTGGATAGTAAATAAAGGCTTGTTTAAGCTTATGATACAATTTGGCTTGTCATAATTAACTGTGGATCTGGAAATATTTATTCAATGTTCATCCATCTGGTTATGTTATATAAGTTTCATACAACTCTGCATTTTATTTATAGAGGTAATGGTGAAATGTCAACAAGGGACTTACAAAAGATGGTTCAAGCACTTCCACAATACAGTGAACAAATTGATAAGCTCTCCCTCCATGTAGAGGTTAGTTCTTTTGTAATGCAATCATGATGCCTGAAAAAGTTGTAATTGTTGTATGATATGCTTTACATATAAAATATGGTTCAAGCACTTCCACAATACAGTGAACAAATTGACAAACTCTCCCTCCATGTAGAGGTTAGTTCTATTGTAATGCAAACATGATGCCTGAAAAAGTTGTAATTGTTGTATGATATGCTTTACATATAAAATATATGATATCTTCACTTGGAAGCTACCTATAAGAGGCCTTCTAAAGTGTGTTGATGCCCTTGAGGAAAGTTCTCGTACTCTCTGGTAATCCCATATTTTAATTGCATGTAGATTGAATCATTGGGTACTTATGTTAGTGTTGTTTTTTCCCTTATCACCACATTCCCCCTTGTAGTAAATAAAAAGAATGGAAGGTGATATTATAGTTCCTAAGTAATGGACCTGCTTTTATTTGTTGAGGGCATGTGTTGTTGTTGACAAGGAGAAAGGGGAAACAGTTTCTTCGCATCCCAAAAGGCTCAGAATTATATCACGACTTCCATACTTTAGAAGTTATTATGACTCTTAATTACAAATCATAATCAAATTAAAACTTTCCTTTGTAATATTGTCTAAGTCCTCTAAAGTAAGCAAGTGAGGTTTTATCTACCATTATCATATACTGGATACACCTTCGCTCAATTCAGAGGAGTGTTTCCATTTATCACTACAATGATTCATTTGTATTTTGCCACTGCATGAATTACTACTTAACTTAATAAGAACTTGGGAAATTCTATATAATATAAACCCCAAGATCAATGCTCACATGCAGACAGATGAACCATCTGTCAGTGTGAATAGTGAGATGAGTGACAGATGATCCATGTGTCTATGTGTGAGCAATTTTTTTTGGTGTTGATAGAATTGCTCTAGAACTACTGGTGATGAATATATTTGTGGTATTACTTTAAGATATAGATGTCTTTACAAATTCTCAGGCTCTCTGCTGCTTCTAGTTATTGATTAACACAGAACTTGTTGATATTATCTATTATCCTGCATGATGTTATTGCTTTGACCATATGGTTATTGCTGTTGGATCACAGAATAATTTATCCTTTGGACTTAAGTTTAATAGACATTCCTGAAACTTCATTCTTTCTTCAGCAATTGGTTAACATTTAAGATTAAATGTATTAATTAAGATGGTTGAGTATGATCATGGATTTGACCTTATAAAATTGGGTTTTCTTTGTCCAGATTGCAGGAAAAATTAACAGAATCATTAGGGAGTCAGATCTTCGGGAACTTGGGCAGCTGGAGCAAGATCTGGTTTTTGGAGATGCAGGAATGAAAGAGGTGATCAAATTTTTTACTACAAAAGAGGTAAGCAATTCTAAGATGGTAAAAGAAAATTATACCTAGTTAGTATGCATATGAAATTAGAAATAAGACATTTTGGTTTTTCATCAGTTAAATTTCATTTTAAGCTCTATTTTCATGCAGGATACAACTCGTGAAAATAAGTTGCGCTTAATTATGATTCTTGCAGCCGTTTACCCTGAGAAAATGGAAGGAGAAAAGGGTCTGAATTTGATGAAGGTGTAGTTTATTGGTGCCAACTAAATTGCCAATTTCTGTTCATTTAATTTGTCAGAATGTACTCTTGTCGATCTGTTTCCTCACAGCTGTAATGGTGCTATGCAATATATTCACCTTTCAAATGCCTTTCAGGTAGCAAGGTTGACAAATGAGGATATGATTGCTGTAAATAATCTGAGAATGCTTGGGGGTGCTGCAGATACCACCAAAAAATCTTCGACGGGTGCTTTCACTCTTAAGTTTGATATCCACAAGGTAATGTAATTTATAATTTAAACAAGTTATTTTTCAGTCTCCAAATGTCTGAAAAGTGTTTCTTCAAGTTGTCAGAAAAAGCGTGCAGCAAGGAAAGATCGTTCTGGTGAAGAGGAGACATGGCAGCTATCACGCTTTTATCCCATATTGGAGGTAGAAGTTAACATCACTTTCCAACATAAAATATGTATTTAATATTATGAAAATATAATGGGAAATAGAGTAAGGCTACTTTTGAACAATTTTCTTATTTCTTTCCTTTTTTAAATATAAACTTTGAATAATAGATGAGCATATGATTTTCTCTTGTGTCTAAAGAACCAGATGTAGTTAGTTTTCTGAAGGTTTCGACTATATTCATGCTGTAAATTTGCTGAGTCTTGTATGTCACAAGTTGATGCCATTTCATTCAGGAACTCATTGAAAAAGTCAGCAAAAATGAATTGTCAAATGAAGACTATCCATGTTTAAATGATCCAAGTCCAACTTTCCATGGTACACCTTATGCTGGATCAGTAATTCATAATCCACCTGCTCATTCAATGAGATCGAGGCGCACACCAACTTGGGCTCGACCTCGAGGGTCTGATGACGGATATTCAAGGTTTTACTCTCTTTCATCCCAAATATAAGTCGGTAATATAATAAATACTTCTAATGAGATTTGTGTACATTTTTCACTGCATCCATGAGCTCTGTGCCCTCCCTCTCTGCCATTGTTATATTATTCTTCATCACTTCTGAGTTGTGCAAACTTGCATAAGCTTGTATTTATAATTTGTAGGGGACTACCCTGTATCTATTGCAATTACCAACTTAGAGTTTCCATTACACAAAGTTCACATTTAATATTTATCTTTTCCTGCTGGCATGTAGCGATTCGGTGCTTAAACATGCATCCAGTGATTTCAAGAAGATGGGGCAGCGAATATTTATATTCATTGTTGGTGGAGCAACCAGATCTGAGGTTTGAATAACATTTGATAAAACGAGTTTCCGATATTTTCCCTTTTTTCTCCAGCCTTTTCTGGTCTGATATATTGTTTTAAACATCAGCTTAGGGTTTGCCACAAGCTTTCTGGCAAGCTGAAGAGGGAAGTTATTCTAGGCTCATCCAGTCTTGATGATCCTGCACAATTTATTACGGTATTATTAACTTTTCAAGGTCAAATATCTTCCTTAAATTGCAATCTGCCTTAACCATCTTTGCATGCCATTGGTCTTTTGCAGAAATTGAAGATACTATCAGAAGAGGAACTATCATTGGATGATCTCCAGATATGATGATGCAGACCTTGAAACTGAAGAGATGAGCTTCGGCTTACTTGTCAAATATGTGTTGTAATCCTATAGTTTAATCATCTCAATATAGTCTTAATATAGCAAATTCTTTGAACATTTGACATGTGGTTCAGCCAAGCTGTACTGGATAACAGACTGTGCATATGCTAGGAATTTACCATTTGTTTTAGAGATGCAAATTTGTCTTAAGGAGTCTCATTCAAATTCGAAAGTAATGCAGTTTGAAGAACACTTATGGTTGTGTTTAAGAATGAGTTGGGTATGTATGAAATAATCCACTTTGATTTTTTATTGAAACACTAAGAATTTCCTCATCAGTTTAGTAAATGCATGTGAAGTAAACTACTCTATACATTGGTTGATTGTCACTATGTGAACCCTTCTAATCAGAACATCAATTAGAGACATTTAAACAGCAAATAGCTTAGGAGTATGAGAAAAAGAAGCCTTGGGTATCACATAGAACTTGGATATTTAATTGACATTTCCTATATTTGGGTATGCGAAGATCTGTATTTTCATAAATTTGGGACATAGTGCACTCATTCTCTTATATCCCCATGTTCCAATGTTGCAACATGAGAAGCCATCAAGACATTAATTATCTCGAGCGATTAGTGAAGCTGAGAAAAATAGCTAGATGTATGGATGTGAAAATAATCAAATTAAAGTTTTTGAAGTAAAGTTTAATGAGAATGTAAACCATTCCAATCAAGAGAAACAAATGCAATATAGTGAGTGGAGAAAGACAGGCTTATCACATTACTGTTAACATATGCACTTGCCTCTTTAAGATGATCTTCAGTGAATCTGAAATTGGTGCAATGTTCCTCTCTGTTGATGAAGAAAGCATGAATACAAGGAACTAAACCTTGAGGTTTATAGATACTTATGATTGGAGTTATTGTCTTAGTTTGTGGAATATTTATGGCTTCCTCAATGTGTTAGCATAATCCGACCTTAGCTCAGTTGGTAGAGCGGAGGACTGTAGTGGGATAACTTCTCAAAGAAATCCTTAGGTCGCTGGTTCGAATCCGGCAGGTCGGATTTTTCATTTTCACTTTCTCAATATTAATTTTCTTATCATTATTATTATTTTATTAACTTTATGTGATATATGGAATAATTAATCTAAGATGGAAGGGGACCTTATATATGACAAGATTAGGAGTTTGACTCATCCCCATTACATGCATATGTAGAATGTTGACATATGGTAAAAACAAGATTTAAATTATTCATATTTTTTACTTTTTTAAATTATTATTATTTTTGAAAAATCAGCCATCTTACATTCCCGGTAGTGAAGTATCAAGTAAGAGGAATTATTTCCCTATATACTTTGAACTCTTCAACAATCATTTTAACTACTTAGATTACTTAATAAATAGAGCCAACCGGAATTTTCCTGTAACACAACTTTAATACCTACAAAATAAAGGGAGCATTATTTAATAAAACTCAAACGATACCAATTACCAAGGATCTATCACCTTAATACATGGAGGGGAAAAAACAAACATTGTGTAAGAGACACTATACTTTTTATACCAAGGTAGATTTTGCTTTTCCCTCACTTTTTCATTTATTTTTATTATTTTAAATACGCTCTTATTTTCTAAAGAAAGTCAATATGAGATACATATCATTTTTAGATTTTAAAAATTGCACTTTCGGCCTTGACTATGGTATTCAACTGAGATTGAAAGTTAACAAACAACCTCCATGACAATATTCAACTAAGGTCTAAAGTTCATAAATAAAGTAGGTTGAATTTTAGGGTTGATGTCATTTTTTTATTTTAGACCTTAGTTGAATACCATAATCAAGGTCATTTATTGAGTTTCGACCTTAGTTCAAAACTAAGGTCAAATCTTCCATCTTTTGAAGTTGTAGGGATCCACCTCCGTTAGTTAAATGAGGTTGAAAGTCAATTTTAACCGATGTTAAATTTCTTTTCTCCATTGGTGTGAATGAGTACTTAAATATTAATAAACACAAATCCATTTAGGGGGCAACAGGGTCGGGCGGGTACCCATATCGGGTGGCGGGAATCCGCAGGTAAAATTGCAGGTGACCGAACTATTTGCGGGTATCCATGCGGTTTGTGGGTATCTGCGGGTACTCAACGAGATTTCAATTTTAATTATATTTTTATATATTTTACAATAATTATTACTTAACTAATATGATATGTATATGATAATTTTATGATCATAGCCTTATCGCTAAATTTTATTATGAAATAATAATAAAATAGACAAAGATAATGTTAAATTAATAATCATTAAGTATAAAATATTTAATTCAAATATATATATGCGGGTACCCGCAGAGCGGATATCATGATACAGTTCTCACCCATGAGCTATTTTTGCGGGTACACATTGCATGTATTTTGACGGCTACTCATGCGTCCGTGTATTTTTGTCATCCATAAATTCATTCACGAGTTATCTATCTATCTCACACATGTGTAATGTACAACATATTTCTCCATTTTTACACTGTTGATGTGAGAACCAGATCGAGTGGTCTGACCAGTATGATCGTTCACCAGACTTGAAAACGGTATTGGTTTGCAGTCTTAACCGATTGAGAGGTTGGACCACTTTGAACGGAAGAAATTATGGTTCGACCGTGTTAAACTTTGTTATATCGGAATAAACCGAGAAGTGAAAGGAACAATTCACTTAAAATTTAATATAATTGAACATTAATCTAATGTTTTGTTTTAATTCGGTCAAAAAAAGATGAAGGAATATTACTTTAATATAATTATACACAATTATTAATTATATAAAATTTTATATTTTTATATAATATATATTTATAGATAAAAATTATTAATTATATTTAAAACAACCCAATTAAATGTAATAGATAACCTTTTCCATTTAATGTTGGACCCTACTTTCACAACATTCATTTTTGGCTCTCTTCTTGAAGCACAAGTCACAATTGCATATTTCTTTATGTGAAGCATCAATGCCTTAATGTGCTCTTCCACATAGAAAAGGACATACAAGTAAAGTCAGCCATTAACCAAAACTAACAATCAATAATAACTAATAAATAAGGAAGGGAATTAAAAGATTAAAATGGTTACATAATTTGAGCATTGGAACAAGATGAGATTCTTGTATAAAGAGAGTGTCGTCTTATACTAATCATTATATTTCCATGTCTTTCCCTTTAGGCCACTAATGTAGAGTGGTGCAATGTATACACCACATAGGTGAAAAGAAAAGGTTAACCTCTACAGAAAAGAGACAAACATATACATACAAAGTGAAGAGATTGAACTTTTAGTTGGCAAGCATTTTCAGCTTTGGTAATAATGTTTTGCAGACAATGATTAATGTCTCTCCACTAAATGAGTAACTAGAAGAATAATGATGCCAAATATTATTTGTATTAATGGAGAATCAAATAATTATTTTTACTTATTTTTTCAATGAAAAAAGTATTATTCCATTATATAAACAAATAAAAATGTCTTATTATGTCATTGTTTTTTTTATAGTATTTGTCTCTCCATTAATATAGAGAATCCTTACTAATATACAATGCATTCATCCAAGTAACAAGAAGGTTTATCATCTCTAATGTTTTGTTTTGAATATATTATTAATATAAAAAGGGTTTTATTAACTATTATCCTAAAGTATTAAGAGACAATATTTTAAGTCTTTTAAAATTGATTTTGTATTATGACTTTCCCTTTAAGGTTTGGAGAAGGTGGGATAATAATGAAAGACTTGATTCTTCATTCTACTTTTCTACTAATCACTTCAATGTCAAAGAACCCACCACTTAGTTTAACCTTTAAACCTTTTTACTGTTCACACTGGTGGGTTTGTGAAAGTGAAAACCATATACAAAAGAAGAGAGATTCGTATTATATATGACTATAATGCCATTAGATCATAGTCTCATTGAATATAGGGTGTGAATTTTTTATTCATGTTATTTCTTTATATGTTTAAGATTTTTCTGTGAAAATGTGAGTGAAATAGAATAGTGCCAGCTTTTCATAATTGGGTAACTACTTTGGTCATGAGAGAAAATGATGGATGACTTAAAAATCTATCAAAAGAGAAGTGAGGGTCCATTCTAGCCATTATCAATGGTAGCATAATTGTCACAATGACTATCAAATAGCCTTTCTTATTTGAGAAAAATAATGTATATAGTAAGGCGATGTTTGGTTTAGTAATGAAAGTGGAAGGAAAGAAAAGCACTTAAAAATGAGATGATAATTTTATTGTTTGGTATAATTGAAAATGGAAGGAAAATGAAAGGAAAGAAAATGCACATTTATTCAATAATGTATTTAAAATGACATAAATACTCTTATTATTTATATATAATTATGTAGTGTATCTAATTTTTAAATTGAAAATTTCATAACTAAATAAATTTATTTTCAATAATATTGATTAATATTTTCTAAGTAACTTATAAACTAAGTTTAATAAAACAATATTTGTTCATAAATTCAAAGAAAATCACTAATATCTTACCTCTTCTTTTCACTGATGTGTCTAAAAGAAAATATAACTCATATTTGACAATCACTTTTATATTTTCAATCATCTTATTTCCATATATTTGCGTTTTGTCTTTCTAATTTATTTATTATTTGTCACTTTGTTGATAATTTTAAATAATTATATTTCTTTTTTATTTTCAGTACATTTTTTAGCATACATAATTACTATTTATTTGTAAACTCAAAAGCAATGAAAATAAAATTAAGTTACCTAATTTCACATAAAAATGAATATAAATAAAGAAATTCAGTATATTTTATATATTTTCACATAGATTATTTTTTCAATTTATTCATGGTGGAATGACAAATTTGGAATTTTTGATGGAATTCCTTCTTTCCTTCATTTTATTCCCAAACTAGGAAGGATAGGTTTTTGTGGGATTCATGTATATATTTTTTCCTTCCCTCCTCTCTAATGTATCTATTTTTTCCTTCCACATCTTAGTCATCAATTCTAGGGAAATCCAATAATTTGAATTAGTGGATAGATCTAAATCAGTGTATTTCCCTAGAATTGATATTTAGGATGTGGAGTTAATGTTAGAACCAAAGGCTGGAAAAATGAAAATTTCCACAACTTTTCTTTCCTCTTCTTTTCTTTCATGTTTTCTATGCAACCAAAACATAGTGTAAAAGTATATGAAATTTGTATATTGTTATTGTATCATCCATCATTTATGTTTTTTCATCATTGACTCTTCAAGAAAATAATAAAAATAAATAGTGGATGATACACTAATCGTGTAGAAATTTTTATACTGATAATACATAAATATTATATTCTTTATTATTTTATGAAAAAGAGGGCATATAAAGCCCATTACGAATTATTACTTATGCTTTATAGCACTAAGAGAAATAAACAACATAATTAAAAAGGGAAAAAATGTATTTCTGAAAGAAACTTTTAATTTTATCTCGGTTAAATTAAAGAGTGTGACTAATGATATTTGATACTATTATGTTCTTATTAGCACTCTCACTTACTCAACTTTAAAAAAAATAACATTTTTTATTTAACATGTATCTACATCCTACCCTTATCAAACTTGACTAAAAAAGATGTGTTTTTCTACAAGCATAATATGTATTTCTAACATACTGATATTATGTGTTTTTTAAATACTTTCATATAGCTTTATAGAATTTTCAAATTCATAATAGTTTAGCCACGATAAACATTAAATATAAAACTATTCAGCTATGGTTCCTTTCCTGTGCAATTCAGTTCGTTTAATATTCAAACCTGAAAAAAAGAAAAATGCACCTCTTATTGTTTTTGAATTTATGAATCTGCAAGCATTACATAAAAAATACAATTTTTCATGTGCTATTTGAATACTTTTATTTTTATTCTAAATTTATATTTTGAAATTTATCCAAATTTAATAAGAAATGTTGGTTTTATATTTTTGTTATTAGAAAAAAACCAATTAAATAACAGAATGAAGAAAGATTCAAAGTTGAAGTATGACTAGGCAAGGGATGGA